ACACCATTCAGTAACCCGAAATGATTGAATTGGAATGTCAATACGTATTACTAGGCCCTTTCGCAAAATCCAACATTGAATACGTTAAATAATGTCAAGATCGAATTCTGCAGTCGATGAAAAGCTTACGGAAGTGGCCATTCAGAAACCTGTTGGTTTCCACCAGGAGAACGCTATATCTCACGTTTTTGCAGATTCGGCACATTTTGGTACAGCTTGGTTGGTTTGTCCTACTGCACGCACCATACTAGCTGACCTTACGACATCGGAATACCACTCAATTCCTAGAAATACCTTTTTAATGGGAAGAATCTCAATTCATTGGACGACTGTACAAAGCACGATGTCCAGTTCATCATCCAGAAAGATAACAGGATCTGTGAGGAAGAAAAATGGTGAATGGTGGTCTAGCAAAATGGTACATGGTTGGTTGATTAAACCTATGTACATTTAAATTAAATTTGTCTGAAAACACTTGGAAAAGTCTACGTGTTTTATTACGATTCCATATATATATATATATATATATATATATATATATATATATATATATATAGGAGACACGGAAGACACATATATATATATATATATATATATATATATATATATATATATATATATATATTTGTTACCTCCTGTTTTCTCTTCCATTCGTAAGGACGTTCTCCTACGCGATCATGTTAATTCAATGATTTACCAATATAAGTGTAGCTGTAGATCGGGAGGACGTCCCAGCGTTTGGATTCGAGAATAAAACAATATTTACCCCACAGGATTTTGAATCCGTCTGTCAGGAAGAGCCAACTAACCAATAGTTCTGGCTCTGTTATTGCTGAGCATATAATAAATTGTAGGAAATATGTGGTTAATTTTAGTGCGGACCCTTTTTTGATTTTATCTAAGTCCCACTTCACATTTCACCTCAAGGTTCTAGAGTCCTTGTATATCAGATCCCGTGGGCCTTCCCTTTGTAAACAGAGGGAATGCTTACTGGGTCTGAATATTATTCGACTCTAGTTTCTTGAAATTCATTTTTTTCTTCCATTCCATTCCATTGGTTAATTTATTTTATACGCTTTTATAAATTTTTATTCCCAGAAAAATAAACTTGATAAGTCCTGTGACGAAACCGGTTGTTTTTTTTTTTAGCTTTTTCTTTTATAAAAAATGCCTTGTAAATTTTGTCTTTTCCTAGCTATATTTTATATATATATATATATATATATATATATATATATATATATATATATATATATATATATATATATAATCCAAATGTAAAAGAATGAAGAGTAACAATTCCACGTTCAAAATATTAACTTAAAACAGGGCTCAACTCAAAAGTACAGTAATATATACTCCTTAAAAATAGGAGAATATTGAATACTCGTCCCACCCTTTATTTGCTTTCCTTCGCCTTTTTCCTTCTCTTTCTTTTCCCTCTTTTGCTGTTATTAACCACTTAGCTTTCTGTCTTTCTCCAAATGTAAATCTTTTTTACCTTTTTGGGAAAATTTTCCATAGACGGAAGTAGGAGATCTCCTTCGTTAACTGTATTTCATGCTACTAAATTTTTTTATTACAAAGTGAAGCAAGAAGATCACTTAATAGACAAAGTTATCTGAGTGCCTCACATGAAAGGCTTGAACAAATAAGACTGCAATATAAGAAACGTGGGAGTAAAGGTGTTGATTAATTAAACGGTTCCTTTTTGCACGTTAAGTAATTTTGTCTAAAAGCGAATCAATATTTTTCTTGTAGCATACAATAATGGCTATGTTCCTATTCACCTAAATACAAAAGAAATTAGGAAAGAAACGTCCTTCTAAAATTCCAACACATATTCGATTTCTTTCTATGTATATTGAATTTGAGAAATCTTCTTCAGTTTTAAATGATTTTCCTCCAAAACCGAAAAAGACATTTTCATTTAGACGTCTTTGCTTTTAAATTTATACACAGTCCTAAAAGTCGTTTGTAAAAACTTATACTTCTAAATTCCTACCAGCATCTTAAAGGCCCCTAATTTTTTAGTCCTATCTATTTGGGTTTGGTCTGGTTTGATTTGTTTACGGCATATAAACCTCAAGGGGTTATTTAATGCTGACAAGATTTTTATTGCTGGTAATATTTTTTTTCAAAAATGTATTGCTGATAATAATTATTTTCTTAAAAAATGTATTGATGGTATTAAAACCTCTTTTTACACTTTTATAGTACTTTGATCCCAGTCTGGGGGTTAACTATTTTCCCATAGCTGGGATCCTAACAGGTGCTACAACCCCGGGTCAGGGTGGATCTGGAAACACCAGCAATTAAGAGGTGGTTCCACTCTCTTCAAAACCTCATGAACAGAGATCTTGCTGTTAAATGTAGTTTATCGTCTTACCCAGGACGCCAATCTACGTTGTAAGTTTTAGAATTATTAAAGATTTTCCGAAATGGATGTGCTTCCCAAATTCTATTCTTCTAATATCACGAAGACTGAAAAAAAACATTTCAAATGCAAACGATATTCTGTCATATCTTTAAAATTCGAAAGATTTTTAGAAAGGCATATACATAAAAATCATATCAATATAATACTTTTCACAAAGAAAAAGATGCTCAAAAGAAAAAGCATTCTAAAGTGTGTTCCAATAACTTGAACCGATTTAAAATATGAATTAAGTTTAAGTGTTTAACGACTTTTTTCTTTTTCTTTCAGATTTAACAACTTACGTCTTTGGCAATTTCAACCATGGAAACATTATCAATCAAACAACGTTTTAAATTTATCGTTGCCGATTACGAAAATGGACGTTCAAACAGAATTTGAATGAAAAGTCCCCAGCTCACATCATCTCTTGAAACAGCGAAGTCAACTGGTCATCACGATCGTGCGACTTGACGTCTTTAGATTTCTTCCTTTGGGGGATCATCTCAAAAGTAAGATCTATGCCAACAAGCCAACAACAATTCAACAGCTGACGGACGAGATAATAAGGCATATTGGTGCGATCGAGGAACAACTATGCAGAGACGTCATCAAAAATTTTGACCATCGAGTGGAGATGTACCGCCGAAGTCTTGGCAGACATTTAGGCAATATTATTTTTCACACATAATGGCCATGACTTAAATAACATGATCCAATAGAGAAATAAAAAACTATTCACCAATAACACTGATTTATTTACTGCTGACTTTGATCCGTCTTAACGAAACACCCTTTATATTTTCTGATGAAGGCAATGCTACTTTGAAGCACAATTATTCACCAGTCATCCAGCGCTTATTAAATAGCAGACACGAAAAGGAATTACAAAACCTTCTACAGAAGGTAGGGAGGGAGAGCGAGAAGAAGGGACTAACTATAAACTACAAGAAAACAGAATGCATGGTTATCAGCAAAAGGATGACCCCGAAATGCGATTTACAGGTCGGGGATACTAAAATCAAGCAGGTGTCTAAATTTAAATATCTGGGAAGTGTTTTGTCAGAGGACGATAATTGCGACACTGACACCCGAAGACGTATTGTGATGGCCAAAGACGTATTCCAAAAGGTAAGGAGAGTATTTCGAAACAGGAAGAATTCTTTGGTAACAAAGAAAAGAGTACTGAGCTGCTACGTGACATCTGTCCTCCTTTACGGCAGCGAATGTTGGACGGTCTCCTCAAAGATGGAGAAGAGACTCGAAGCAATGAACGTATGGTTCTACAGAAGGATGCTACGGAGCGTGTGAGCAACGATATGGTTTTAGAGAAGGAGCTTATACTTAACATCAGAAAGAGACAGCTGAAATTTCTGGGACAAGAAACGAGAAAGGAGGGCTTGGAGAATCTGATACTCACAGGGCGAATAGAGGAAAATGAAGACAACGGAAAGCAACGCGTGACATACTTAGCGGGCTTAAGCAAGTGGATGACAGAATAGGGTCTGGAAGAAGTAACAATCGGGCAAAACATTGTGAGCTGCAACGGATAGGAAGAAGTGGAGGGCCATGATCGCCTACGTCTTGAAGGCACACGGCACAAAAATGAAAATGTTTGATATGTTTGAAGAAGTTTGGTAGTAAAGCCCCTTAAAAATAAAAATCTCATTTACGGCAACGAATGTTGGACAGTCTCCTCAAAGACGAAGAAAAACTCAAGGAGGCGGAGGTATGGTTCTACAGAAGGATGCTAAGGATATCATGGACCGAGCGTGTGAGCAACGATGAGATTTTATAGAGGGAGCTTATGCTTAACATCAGAAAGAGACAGCTGAAATTTCTGGGACAAGTAACGAGAAAGGAGCGCTTGGAGAATCTGATACTCACAGGGCTGATAGAAGGAAATGGAGACAAGGGAATGCAATGCGTGACATATCTAGCTTGCTTAAGCAAGTGGATGAGAGAACATGGCCTAGGGGGGGAAGTAGCAAGGGACAAAATTTATTGAAAGCTACAAGGGATAGGAGGCAGTAGAGGGCCACGATCGCCTACGTCCGGAAGAGACAGAGCACATAAAGAGAAAAAGAAAAAAAGAATAATTACAATCCCGAAAGTGAAGGCAATTGCTCGAATATTCGTTTTGGTCGCCATCAGGACGCACTTCTTCTAAATGTGTGTCTATGGAGATCATTGGACGCACGCTTTGGCTGAGGGGAGTTGAGAAACGACCTAACGGGAATGAATGAAAAGCGACAAATGAGATCCAAACGAAATGCACACACCCACAAACTCACCCAGACACACACACGCACAATGAAGGAGGTTGGGCTTTATTTTTGGGATGTCGTACACACAGACACACTGACACTGATTGTTGACGGATTCCGGTCGGATGTATTATGACACTAGACATCGATCACACATTAAAATGAGACGGACACACAGACACAAGCAATTTACTACGGCCAGACATAACTGTCAAATCAAAATATATAAATCTATGTGTGTATGAGACATAGAGGGTGTGTCTGTTTGCGTGTGTGAGCAAAATTATTTGATAAAGTATACATGCACTGAAAAAAATATGATCTATCTATCTATCTATCTATCTATCTATCTATCTATCTATCTATCTATCTCAGTTGGGGCTGTCGATAGCTGTACTTGCACGAAGTCACAAGTCATTGTGACCGATGGCGTTCGTGTTGTTCATATTGTTTATCATTCTATATAACACACTCCCAGAAACTGTAACTAAGGTCTGCTCAGCATAGTTGCAATATAAACCACAGTTGGGCTCTGTGGACGATTACGTCGAAACGCATGAAATTTTTAGTTGTGCTCGGCCATAGTTCAACGAGAATTCATTTTTTAAAATAATTTCTCCCCAAGCAAGGAAATAAAGCCACTAAGACAGAAGCGATTACGGTATGTGAATGAATAAGAAAAATGAAAAGAGTTTTCTGGAGCAAGAACAATAAAATAACATAAATTAAGACGACATAAGATAACGATTTACACTGTATTTGAATTTTGAAGATCAAAGTTGGTTGGAAAGCTATACACTGCAAGCGATTTCAACAATCGAAGAGTGCCAGAAAAGAAACTATTAATAAAGAATTTACAGTTATATCTAGCCAATACAACTGTCAAACGCTGACATCTTGTACTGCTCTTAACTTCATAATGTCATAAATGTGCTTTAGAGAGAATCCAATTAGAACAATTATCACAAAAATATATATAGAAAAGTCATAGGGAAGATATATTACGGAGGTGACTGAAGCAGGGATGCCAAGTCAGAACCAATAACATTGCAGACTGTTCGTTGGACTTTATCAAAAATTCATTTTTCATCGGAAATATTTTTTCCTTCAGATAATATTGTCTTTCAATATATATTTTTCATAAAAGCATTTAAAAGCTTCACTAATTAAAAAATGACTTAGTTTTATTGCGTTTTTTTATTTTTCGTTTCAAAAAAGATTTTCAGTTCGATTAAAAAAGAAAAAAGTTGATGATTTAAATGTTTCATAGAATTCTACTTTTAACTAATATAATCACTAAAATTATCACAAGTTTTCATAAAATTAAGTAAGGGGTTGAAACACATAGAAAAAATAATTTCAGCAACATTTTTTAATAAAAAATATTTAAAAAATAATTGAATTCATTTATGATGAAGTCCGGAAAATTTAATTAAAATTATTATATCTTAAAATTAGAACAAGAACGAATGGTAGACTTATAAATATGTAAGATAGATTCTAGCACAAGACTTTAAAAGAACTTTCCTAGCAAAAGATCTAGCAACTGATTCGATATATCTGTCTATATTTCTGAGATGAGGTATTATATACACTATTTACATTATTCGGACTATTGTTCTCATCTTTGTCCCCATATTTATTACAACGTTTCGGCTTTTCAGTATCTGCCTATATTTCTGAGATGAGGTATTATGTACACTATTTACATTATTCGGACTATTGTCCTCATCTTTGTTGCCATATTTATTACAACGTTTCGGCCTTTCAGTGTCTGCCTATATTTCTGAGATGAGGTATTATGTACACTATTTACATTATTCGGACTATTGTCCTCATCTTTGTCGCCATATTTATTACAACGTTTCGGACGTTGTACGCTCCGGCCTTCTTCTGGTAGTTGGAATGTCGAACTGAACCCTTTATTTCTCTCACTCGGCTAGACTGTTCTAGTTCCACATGCCATGTTTAATGGGTGTCAGTTTTCAGTTATCTCCTGTTAATTTCCACTCTCAAAGTTCCACTGCCTTAACCAGGTATTGAACTCATACTCTTTGGGTCTTGTTACTGGATCTAACTAAAGCCTTTATCCACTGTGCTATGTGTCCTTGAGGTTAGATTCAGTGACAGGACCCAAACACTGAGTTCAATACCCAGTTAAGGCAGTGGAGAACTTTCAGAGGGGAATTAATAGGAGATAACTGATAACTGACATTCATTAAACATGGCACGTGGAACTAGAACAGTCTGGCCGAGTGAGAGAAATAAAGGGTTCAGTTCGACATTCCAACTACCAGAAGAAGGCCGGAGTGTACAATGGCCGAAACGTTGTTATAAATATGGCGACAAAGATGGGGACAATAGTTCAAATAATGAAAATAGTGATTCAATATAATCTTTCCACTTCATGTCAACGGAGAACGTTAAGCCGAGAAGGCACGACGATTTGCCTCGATGCTAAAATAAGCTAAGATTCATGTATAGCTATAATCCCCGGGTCGAATATGAATGATTCTTCTCCGCCCACGATTATACATACGCAAATATGCCTCATTCCCATGTCATTCAGGGATTCATATCTGAACTTAACAAGTACAAATAAATTAACTGTACGCAAATTACTTCCACCCATAAATAGCGAGGCAATCAGTTATGCATTTCTGTAAACAACCCCCACACATATGTGGGTATATATGTTTATATGTACGTGTGTATGCTCGTGTGTAGTATGAATAACTAGCCTCTGTTCGGGTTGTCAATCGGTTTAACACATTTTCCCTTTTCTATTTCCGAGGTTATATGGCGACTTTTGGGCTGAGAAGCCCTTCATTAGCCCGGATCATGGTGATGAGGCATTCAGAAGAGAGATATCTATCAATGGAAGGTAGTAAACTGACCAACTCTCTCTCTCTCTCTCTCTCTCTCTATATATATATATATATATATATATATATATATATATATATATATATATATATATATATATATATATCTCTTTCTCAAACAAATTTCTCTTCATGTGTACCTCTATCTATATTTCTACATATATATGGTCCTCGATATATATATATATATATATATATATATATATATATATATATATATATATAAAGAAAGAGAGAAAGTGCGTGCGTGCGTGCGTGCGTGCGTGCGTGCGTGCGTGCGCATGTGCGTGGCTGAGGGAAGAGAAAGGGTAGATGTGGGTGCGGTAGTTACGTATTCCCAACGGGCGTCAATGGTCGACTTTCGAGTCCTCGTATAATCTGCATATGAATGCTGATTTTAAGGGAACAAGGCCATAAAGTATATTAATATCAATATTGTGATATATATATATATATATATCCAAGTATAGGATTGGTTTATACGGAATAAATTCCAATAGCCAAAAATACTATTCTTAAAAGAGTGCTTAATACAGAGTAGAGCAAATATAATTATTTATTCGAAAATTATAACATAAATATGTTATAAAATCACTACAATAATAGCCATTTTGTTTCTACATTTCTGGTGTCTTATTAAGTGATGGTGTTGAATGTAGAATAACGCCTTTTAAAACCCTTTATTCTACATTCAACACCATCACTTGATAAGACACCAGAAGTGTTGAAACAAAATGGCTATTATTGTAGTGATCTTATAACATATTTATGTTATAATTTTCGAATAAATACTTATACACACACACACACACACACACACACACACACATATATATATATATATATATATATATATATATATATATATATATATATATATATATATATATATATTTCATTAACTAATATAAGCCAGTAAGGTTCGACGAAATTTATAGATAGCAATGAAATTCGTTAAGATATAAACATTAATATCAATCTATCTATACTTACACACACACACACACGCACACACACACACACTGATACACAGATACCCACAAATACACACACACACACACATATACACTGAAACATTTTGTTTACATTATTTGCATTGATCGGACTATTGTCCTCATTTTTATTGTCATGCTCAAGTCGTTTTGGCCGTTGTACGCTCCGGATTTGTCATGAACATGGCGAAAGGTGAGGACAAGTGCCCGGACAAATCAAATAATGTAAGTAATGAAAAATAGAAAAATATTGAAATAATTTGGCTGGCAAAACGAATTAGCGTATCCCATTCTTTGTTCGCTATTTTTTTAATAATGTTCACCGAATATAAAACACAAGAGCCCCTTAAGATAGCAGGTTATTGAACGAGGTGAGTGATATTGATGCAAGAGGAGGCCATAGACAGAGAAAATTACGAGGATATAGCGTATAGAAACAATTAACCTGCAGAGGTAATGATTGTTGTCTTCAGGGAATCATTTACGCCCTTTTTCTCCTGGTGTCATTAGTGGCTGTAGGCCTCTGAAAATATCAGGTGCCACCCCTTTCGCAGGTGACCTAACTAGGAGCAATTGCCAACTGGTAAGGTTTCCGGCCTCTTTCGGTTTAAAATATGTCCAGAGCTTTTATTGGTTGGATTATGTTTGAATCAGCCAATGAAAATTTGTTTTTGCAATTACTGCGGTCGACCTCTCCCTGTATCATAATTTCATTTTAATGGGTCAGAACAGACTACTTGTAAACATATCATTATAATAACAACTCATATTTTGCACATACTATGAAAACGTTCTGCATACCCATTGATTTTAAAAATCTGGGAGAAGTTTAATTATCGAACAAATAAATATCCTAGTGAATTTCTACATTTTATTCAGCTTATATTCAAGGTTCGATGGAGTGTCAACAGGTGAATATACGTCGTCATTTATTAAGTTTTGTTCGGATAAACGTTTTTACCTCCCAGTAAAGATCAAATTCGCAAAATAGTGATTCTGGGAAGAAGTTTTCGATGTTGGATGCTTTACTTATCAACGGAATATGAAGGGAATGAGGCTGATTCAATTCTGTGGTTGTAGCAATGTATTCAGCAGGTGTCACAAAAATGCGACATATTGAAACATTTACAATGAAAGTAGCAAAAAGCTTGCGATATGCAACTGAAAGATTGAATTTTAATTGATGACCTGAAAAAAAATAATGGAGGGATGTGGCTGGTTTATATGTTTCAAAAAGCAGCCCAAACGACATAATACTCATATAACTGTCGAAATGTATTTCTTGCTTATATCCGTAAATGGTGAAACTGTTTTTGCTTTACGTCGTTTTTTTTTTTTTTTTTTTAATTATTTCACCCCAAGTAAGGCGATAATGACACTAAAACGCAAGAGGTTAATGGGAATGGAAGATAATGAGAAGACTTTATTGAGGAGAAATGGCAATAAAAGGACAGGATACAGGAAGACAAAAGATGGTGTTTGATTTAAATCTTTGAA